GGCGCCCGCCGCTGAAGCCCAGCACGCGCCGCCGGCCCGCCCGCGCCCGCCGCCCCGCAGCCAGCCTCCGACCGCCCTCCTCTCCCCAAGATGTGGCACAACGTCGGGCTGACCCTGCTGGTGTTCGTGGTCACGCTGCTGATCGTCCTGCTGCTGATGGTGTGCGGTGAGTGGGGCATCCGCCGCGGGGCAGTTCCACACGGCGGTACACACGGCCCGCGCGACTCGGGGTGCTCGCTTGTTTTCTCTGTCCCTGTCTCTGTCTCTCTTTTTTTGGCTTTTTTTGTCGTGGGTGGACAAGTGTCTTAGAATCATCCGCTGCCCACGTCGCTCGGGGGAGATGTGCCCCTGACCCAGGACAGGCCCTCTGGCATCCTGGAGAGGGAAAGAACAGGTTCCAGGGCTGGGCATCCTGACTCGGGGTTAAACCAGATACTGCTTGCTTCTCAGAGGGCAGCGTCTGCTCCTCATTGCCGTTCTTACCACTGTCTGCCCAGATTTTAACCTTGGCCTGCTTTCGAAGGTGAAGTGATTGGTTATTCCTTGTCCTTTTTTTTTTTAGAGGTTCGGGCCCTGATGATAATGAGAACTTTCCGTTCCTTCATTGAATCAGGGGTGAGGACAGAGTTGGGTATGAAACCCTCCGTGAAATTGTTTACTTCGAGTTCAGGCTCAAACTAGATTCCCGACAGAAATGTCTAGGCTAGGCAGAACTTAAAAAAAACCCGGCTATATTAAACTTCCAGGGTCAGGTAACCTAACTCTCAGTTTTGTAATAATGGTGCTGTTTTGTTTGCTGTGATTTTTTGACTTTCTTGGGTTGAGACGACATTAAAACTTTCTTCTCAGGGTAATATTAGCGTCATTTTAGATCTTCTTGACTTCTGTATGTACAGTAACTGATAACCACAGGTCTCTGAGCAAAGTGGCTGAGCAGTTGTGAAAATTTGGGAATTGAGAACCAGATGTCAGTGAGCTTAATTTTTCATAATTCCAATATATTGAAGAATGGGTTCAGGTTGATGCCATAACTAAGCAGAAATAAACATAAATGCATTCATTACATGATGTACTAAATGCTCAGTATCAGCTGTGTTCAGAGAAGATACGTGTGCACTTATGCAAATGCCTATATATGTATTTGTTTTTATATATGTGTGTGTATATTTTTAATCTTCTTGCTTCAGGAAGGAACCGGAGTTAACAGCCTTTCTTTTCTGATGGTAAAACAATTGAAAAGCCTTTCTCGGTTTCCTGCTTGCGACGTCAGGATTTGGGGCTAATTGTAGATCTGTGAGATTCTGGAAGTAAAGAAAAGCAGATCTGTGTGGTTTGTTTGCATGTGGGGAAGGAGGAAAGCATGTAAGCATATGCTTTCTTTTCCAATCTGAAGATGTGAGCTGCCTGGAAGTGGGGATGTGACACATAGACTGTACAAAACCTTGGGTAGAATGTTTGCCCAACTGGGGGCATCAAAATTCCCGATTGTTACTACATCATACTTGCTCTCTCAGCTCCGGAGAGCTATTTAACTTTGATTTTACTCATTTGTCTGAAAATATCTTGCCTTTGGTTTCAGAAAATATTGTGGAATGAGAGGTGAGGTGTGGTAAGTAAAAAAGAACATCTTATTTTGATTGGAATGGTCCAGAACTAATAATAGCTTTATGAAGAAGTAATTCAAGAACTTTTTTTTTGTTGTTGTTGAGAGAGCTAATGATGCTCTAGCTTCATGGTTCGACTAGGATGGACCTGGGGGGCTTGGGGAGGGATGAGAGGTTGGGGGGAAGGATCTGACCAGACTTGAGGCTCGGGAATCTCAGGCCTTGTATTAGTTTGCAGGGATGCCATAGCAAAATACCACATACACTAAACAACAGAAATTTACGTTCTTACAGTTCTAGAGGCTAGAAGTCTGAGATCAAGGTGTCAGCAGGGTTGACTTCTTCTGAGGCCTCTGTCCTTGGCTTGTAGACGGCTGTCTTTTCCCGGTGTTCTCGCGTGGTCTTTTCTCTGTGTGTGTCTGTGCCCTAATCTTTTCTAGTAAGAAAGCCAATCGTATTGGATTAGGGCCTCACCCTTATGAATTCTTTTAACCTTAATTAAGTCTCTAGAGGCTCTGTCTCCAAATACAGTCAACATTGGAGATTAGAAACCTGTGACTGTCCCAAGAAACTGGTAGCCTACTTTATTTTAAAACTCTGACTGGCTCTTTCACATAGTGAATTCTGATGTTCAAATTCCAGGTTCCTGGGGAGGTTTTCTTTCTCTTGTCTGTATTGGTTGTATGTACTTTTTTGCCTCTCATCCACGCTAAAGTGTTTTCCACTACCACTGTTCACTGAAGTGGCCCTTGTCAAGGTCAGCAACAAATGGTCTTCATATTACCAAGCCCATGGTCACTGGTCACTTAGTCTTAATTGTATTTAACCTCTCATACTCATTCCGTATAGGTGAGCATTTCTTCTACGAAGTATTTCTCTTGGCTTTTGTACACTATACTTTTCATAGTATTCTTCCGACCACAGCGCCTAATTGTTTACCTTTTTCCTGGCTTCTCATCCCCTAGAATTTCTTAAATATTTTGGATCACAGTCTCTGATAGGAAATACATTTTACATTATTCCCAGTACATTTATAAGTATACAAATTACATATACCAATCTGTTTATATACATTTATCTATCTCACTATAATCTTTCTGTCTCTGAAATAAAAATTTTATGGACTAGTATTTGCCCTTACTCTGTGAAATAATGCATGCTATTTTCTATTATATTTCTGTATTATAATACAAGTATGTATTTCTATTCCTTTTTCCTTCTGGTCTTTCCCTATGATAACCTTATCTAGTCCTGGAGATTTAAATATTAACTGTAGCTAATGACGAAAATTGATTATCTCCAGCTCTCACTTTTTTCCTGCACCCAAGGCTCATGCATCAAATAGTTTTTCTTAAAAAAAAAATTTTTTTTTAAATTTTAGAGAGAGAGAGAGTGAGCTGGGGAAAAGGAAAGAGAGAGAGAGACTGAGAATCGCAAGCAGGCTCTATGCTTAGCGCTGAGCCTGATGCGGGGCCCCATCCCATGACCTGTCATGACCTGAGATGAAATCAAGAATCAGATGCTCAACCTACAGAGCCACTCAGGCACCTCAAGTATTTTTTCTTTTCTTTTTCTTTTCTCTTTTCTTTCTTTCTTTCTTTCTTTCTTTCTTTCTTTCTTTCTTTCTTTCTTTCTTTCT